AATAAGATGTATAGCTTGCTGTAACTACTTTTTATCATCTTAATGAGAATATGCCTAATATTTTTTTTTTTTGTATAGATTTCGAAATCTTTTTTAAAATGAAAATTGCTGATCAGTATTAATCGATGCTCGATCCGCCCAAATTTAATAATAGAGAACTTCTGACTCAGGTATTACGTACTCAGGTAATGCAATTGCGTAAAATTATTGAACTTTAACCATAACTTACCACATTTAATATTAACTTACTCTACTCTCCAACCTAGTTATTCAGTCTGTGATTTACTCACGATACACTTGACTTTATTAGATTTTACCCTCTCTGATATGTTAACCTCACCTCTACTTCACATCACTCAAGTTTAATAGAGAAGTTCTATTTTTATCATACTTTTCATACTTTACAATTGACAATCTGGTACTTTACTTTGCTTCATTATTAAACCAATTCTTTATATGTTTCACCTTTTCTAAGGCTCTTTCCGCATATCATATCTAATTACTATTTAAAAATGATGCAGATGATTTAAGCAACTGATAAAGTCCATAAAGGAATTCGAATAGATTTCAAAAGTTAAGTGAATTATAAAATGGATAACATCAGTGTTACAAATATAATTGTACTGCATTTGTGCGAATCGAATTAACAAAGAACAAAATCAAAAGATTTATTTCAAAACTACGGAAGTACCATGACCAATTTTGATAAAAAAAAGACCTTCAGAGTAAAATAAACATTTCAACTATTTATCACATTTCGAGAGGCTAAATTTGAAATGAAGCAGATGGGAAAAATGAGTAATGAAATTTCTATCAGTTATGCAAACTTATGCACTTGCCGTTTAATGAATAACAAGATGAAAATTGGATTCTGACAGGAAAAACTGACTCACAAAAGACAGAAGCAGTAAATTTGAAGCTAGGGAAAGTATTTCTGAACCTAGCAAAACCATATTTTAGTATGAAGTTAGAATTTGAATATCCGATTGAAATCATGAGTTTATATGAGAATAAACCGAGCAATACCTTCCTACTCCTTTATCGAAAATTATTCCTTGGAGCTCAGAATCCCCTCCCTAATTAAAATCAGTGCAAGTAAAAGCTCAGAAAAGACAAAAGCAAGAAACCAGATAGATTTTCAGTAAATCACAATATTTGTTTAGTAAAGTTAATTCATCCGAAATATTTGAAAGATAATAACTAAGAACTGATGGAATGAAAGAGAGATATTTTATAAAATTTGTCACAATTTCTATTTGAATAAGGAAAGCCTAATACAATTTTCGAAACCATAAGAAATTTCAAATTCATGATAGCACAAATGAAGTCGTTTTCGCCGTAGGAACAATAATGTTTATGGTAGTTTTTATGATGAAATCAAATTTTGTCCATTTCATTTGTGTCAAAGCGCATTAGAAGCACCTGTCTCATATCACTTTCACAAACCAAAAACGAGTTCGCAACTTAAACAAACAGTAAAACATCAGTAGGATAGACATAATTTTACTTTCATTTAAAAGATTTCAGCTTGTAAAAGAAGTGAATTTGATCTGCAGTCGAGTTAAAATTTACAATAAAATTTCCAAAGATGAACCAATCAAAAAGAAGTGGCGAATGACTTTTACGAATACATCACTGCTGTCCAGTACCGCTTAGAAGTCGATCGATAGCGGCGTTTACATCACCAAATGTCGCAAGTAGTGCTATAAAACAATCATTACAGCAACTATTCGAAAAGCATAATGATGTTCCCGTCCTTATTCTCTGTGCATGGCGGAATCTTGTTCTGCTGTTAGCTTCTCGAGATATTAAATAAGATATAAACATTAGTTATTAAAATACCCACTTATTAGAAAAGTGGAAAAATAACTGACTGAGAGCAGAAAATATACCTATCCAAAGAAGGATACGACTACTGCAGACAAGAAAATAATTCTTCCAACCACAAGTTTCTGCCTTTTCTTTACCATTTAAAACCCACTTTAAAACTTGATATGCATTGGTTACAAGTAAATGCTTACTTCCCTGCTTTATAATTTAATATTGATTATCTTAAACAAAAAATTCAAACCCAAACACACGTCCATAAACGTAAAGTGGGTTGAGAAGTCAAAATATTGTGTATCAGTCAATTAAGTTCAAGATTTAACAAAAGGTTTCTTAATTTGGCTTTTATGTCTTTAATATTCAGCTCTCTACTAGATATAGCTATATCATTACCGTCAAATTTAGGTTTATCTCCCTGATTTTTAAAAAGAACATTTCATGATCATCAACTGACTCTATAACTTACCTGGTTCAGGGAATTATTAAATGATAAAATCACCTTGAATATTCGCTTCTTGATTACTGAATCCCATACTTGTTAACTGCTCTAACTGACTGCGGTAACGCTCTTCTGGTGGTTGTGTCGATCCACCCTGAAAGTCTTTACTTGTCCGAACAAACAAAAATTTTTGAGGAGGATCATCGAACTTCACATTACGTATATTTCAGAAATTTGACATGGCACTATGACTTGGATCCATAGAGAACAATTACGCCATAAAACATGGATTACGACTTCAGCAGGCAAACCATTCATACGACTGCAATGCAGCAGCATTTAACAGCCATCAAAAAAAGCAAAATTTCAAGTCTAAGTTAGTGTCCTGCAACGATTTTCACTGCTATTCGACCCTGAAATAATAAAGATCCTTTTGGGCTTACAAGAGTTGTGCCAGTCATTTGTCTAATTAAATTAAGCATCATCATCGCTTGTTCGGTGGTTGGAGCAGAGGAAGTCGTCGTTGTCGTCGTTCCCGTACCTGGTGCTGCGCCAGTTGTGACTGAATCACTAAAAAAAATATAAGTCCCTAATGACATTTTGCTTTTTAAATTATTAGGTGTGCATCAATCGATTGATGATCATTCTACATTCCACTTCTCCGTCTTTAAACAAGAAAAATTTGTCTTTAAACAAGAAAAATTTGTAATTTTGACATTACAAGAAAACAGAAAGACACAAACCTGGAAGTAGTACTAGACGTCGTTGTAGCTGCCACTGGAGCAGTTGGAAAACTGGAAAGATAATGTTGCAAAACAATAAAACAAATTCACTTACATATCATATAATTCCTATATTTTTACATGAGTACTAGTGCAAAAAAGATTTACTTACAATCCAGGAGGTAAAAGTTGTGGAGCTTCACGACGTAAAGTATCCATGCCAGTATGAATTTGATGGAATGCTTCAAGCACTCTTGGATTAGAAATTGTTCGCAACATTTCTGGACTTTGCAACTGGAAAATTAATACAAAAATGGTAAAACTGATCTACATATTCCTATATTTTAAA